AGGGTCGCGCCAGCACGGCACGAGCAGGGCCGGCATCTCCAGGGGGGCCCAGTGCTTACCCACGAGCAGCAGGGCTCTCCTAATCCCACAAGTACTGTCAGTGTGTATATCTCTGTATACCATATAGAGGTTTATACAGTGATCTGCAGTATATACACTATATCTCTATACAGAGGTCTGTAGTATAACTCTACTGGTCAAGCCGCGTTCCCGTGCCCTGCTCGTTCCCCAGACACAAGAGAAATCACAACAGCATTTGACCAGTATTCTCATTTGCCCAAGTTACGGTGACTGTGCAGGCTTGGAAACCAGGCTGAGAGGAACAAGAATTACCAGAAACCTCTAGTATGTGTTTTTGCTCACTGACCACACTGCAGTTTGTATTCATGAAACCGTTGTGAAAGGGCTTTTTGTTAAATTTTCTTAATAAATTAGTTATATATTCAGCTTATACTTTCTGGAGGGCATCACCCCTAAAAACTCCACAGAGGGACTGTACGGAGTTTGCCCTAGACATATTAAATCTTTTAAACAGCAGCACACTGATCAATCTGTTTTGGAGCAGGTAAAGGGTGAGGAAGAGGAGGAGAACACCTTGGAAGTGAGAGAGACTAAAGTTAAGGGCAAAAGGTGAGTATCACCTTTAAAGGTCAGTACTTAGATTGTGCATGAGGGTTTCATAATTGTCCCCGTGGTGAAGCAGAAATACCACCCCTGTTCCACATACCTAGAGATCCTAGAGTCTTTTCTTCCTGAAAAGGTCCATTCTGTGCTCAGGCTGCATCCTGGGGTGTTACAGAGGCGGGGAGCATGGTTCACACAAGCAGCCAAACCCAATTCCTGCAGCTCAGGAGGCCCCAGTAGAAGTCACTTCGCTCCTGCTGGTGCTCTTTCCTTGGGAGATAACACATGAGGTTTTAGAGATTTTAGATCTCTGCACTGAGCCCAGCACAGTCATACACGGCTGCTAGTCAGGGGAGCACCTTATGAGGAAGTGAATCTCTCTCAAATGCAACTCAGCTGCCTTTGTGGGGGCTCAGCTGTGCTTAGTCTGTTGTACTCAGTGCCTTGAGTAATGCCCTGGCCCTTTATTAAGGGACACCAGGTGAGAGAAACATTATAGCTGTGGTCATGCTCCTACCCTTTGGTCCCTTTTGAGCTCTCAGAGGGTTGGCAGTGGTGATTACAGGGAGTTTAAGTGCTCTGTGGGGGTGTGTGCCCAGAGCACCGCTCAGTCTGCCCTGTGGGGAGCATCGCAGTGTGCTGGATCCTGTGGCCCAGCACAGCCCGTTGCCCGCTGCAGGGAGAGAGGATGCCACTGTTGGTGTGAGGATCTGCACTGCCAAGCTTGGGATATTGTGCAGATGCTGCAAGACTGGGCAGCGAGGTGGTTTCCGAGCTGTGAGAGCTGAGAGGTAAAGACTGCCTGTAAAGTGGCTCAAAAGCACAGTGCAGCTGGGTTTCAAGAGGGCAGCAGCTGTGGAGTTAAGTTGCCAAGGTGGACCATAGTTTCTGATGTGCCTGGATGCCTCATGTGATCCCACTCTTGGGCTGCCAGGATTGACATGAAGTCTGATCCTTATGGATTTGGTGAAGTCTAAATCCATTCTGTAGAACCTCAGTCCAAAACCTTGCTAATTTTCTGGCCATTCCTTAATTTTAGATGCTGTGGGCAAAAAACTGAGAATGAACAGACTTTGTGGGAACAGGTGCTGAAGATGTTTGTGAATTGTCTTCTGGACACATACACATGCTTCCTTTGATTCAGATAATTCCTGTCATCTGGAGAAGAACAAAAAAATAAACATGCTTTATAAATGAAGCATGCTTTATAAATGCAGGATCAGGGAGGGAATGTGTCACCATTCATTCCGCTTCCAAAATGGGAGCCAGGTGCTTTTGTGGAGCAAAGACTGTCTCTATGCCTGGACACAATGCTGCCTCCCCAGTCCAGAGTAATCACATGTGCTGGGACAAGACATCTGTACATCTTGGAGGAGCAAGTAAAATACTGGCCCAAATCACACATGATACACGTGATACATGGGCTCCCTTCCACAGGGCATTGATCTGAATGCTCTCTCCGGGGAGATCTCACATGACTTACCTGTTCTTCTCCCTTCCAGTGGAAAATTCTTTTCTGTGAAGCTGCCATCTCCTTTGGCACCGGGCGCCAAGATCCGTGTCTCTGTTGAAATGGTTTTCACACACGTCCTGCAGCCCTACCCCACCCACATCACCCAAAGTGAGAAGCAGTTTGTGGTCTTTGAAGGAAATCACTATTTCTACTCACCCTACTTCACCAAAACCCAAACGACTCGGGTCAAACTGGCCTCTAGGAACGTGGAGAGTTACACCAAGCTGGGAAACCCTTCCCGCACTGAGGACATGATTGAGTATGGCCCCTTCAAGGACATTCCTCCATACAGCCAGGTAAATGTCTGTGCAAAGGGGTTGTGGCTCTGCATGGAGCATCTTCCAGACATGGGAGACGTGTCTGAGAGGCTGGAGAGAGGGAAGCAGAGGCCTTTGTGTAAGAATTGCAGGTGAAGCCTGAGTTAGACCACATGTAGGCCAGGAACACATGCTCCAGCAAGGTGCTTCTATACAGATGGGATTGCTGACTGCTGCCTGGTGTCCACAGAACAAACCAAGCTGGTATCTAAGTGGCTCTGGCAGGGGTGTGTCAGCAGTGGGGAACACTGCATCTCTGCCCCCCCTCACCTTTATAACACAGCCAAATGTGCAGGTTGTAACCTGTGAGTACCCCCAAGTACCCAGTGTGAACTGGGCTGGGTGTCTCAGACCTTCCTGTGCAGTCAGAGTCATCTCTGCAGCATCTGCCATAGAGGGTTCTCTGTGGCACATGGAGTGGATAATTGTGAGGGGACCTTGCTTCTTCCTTCAGGTCTAATAGTTTATCTTGTTTTTTCCCTTGTTAGGACACTCTGAAGGTGCACTACGAAAATAACAGTCCCTTCCTGACCATCACCAGCATGACACGAGTCATCGAGGTGTCCCACTGGGGCAACATTGCGGTTGAAGAGACGGTTGATTTAAAACACACAGGAGCAGTGCTGAAAGGGCCTTTCTCCAGATATGACTACCAGAGACAGCCAGACAGTGGGATCTCTTCTGTCAAGTCTTTTAAGGTTGACATTTTCAACCTGTATTTTTTTAACTGTGGCTTCCCCCTTTTTACATCCCCAGAGGAAAAAAAAAATAGTTATCCTTTGCCTTTTCTTTGGTAGCCATACCCCAGTCATAAGGGAATATTAAAGCTCTGATCTATATTCAGAGAAGGCTCATGCTAGATAGGAATAGCTTTTGGAGGCAGCTTTAGGAGGTTATATGTTTAATTGCATCTGTTGGCCACACAGACTGCACATACCAGGGCATGTAGTGTTTCTCCACACTTCCACCCCTCCAATCTCAGGGACCCTCTAAACTCCTTATCCTTGTACTGACAGCTCTGCTTTTGGTTTCCTGCTGTGCAAGGGCCATTCATTCTATCCCCACCCTCTTATTTTCAGCGTTGCCTTCTCTGCCATATCCTCATCACGTTGAACAGTATTAATTGGAAACTCAGCCATTCATTCCTTGCTCACAAAGCTCTCAACAAGAGTTAAAGCTGTGGCTCTGCTAGCCAGATGTGAAAAGTATTGTGTTTTCATCTGAGCCAAAACCTTTCTCTCTGCTTGAACCCTCCAGGATTGATTGTTGTAATTCTCTAAGGTGGTGCAGCCAAACAGAAATCTCATTTTGCTGAGTGTAAAGCCAGCAAGTCCAGTGAGCTAGGGCAGCAGGCTGGAGTGAAAAGGGAATTGCTGTCCTGGTGGGCATGATGAGATCCCTTGCTGTCTGAGATGTTTGAAACTGGGCTGGAGAGAGCACATTCATTTGGGAGGCCAAGTGATTTTAGTGCTGGGAGCCACTTCTGTGATTGCTTATAATAGCACAGTTTTACCACTCAGTGCAACTGAATGGCCATTTTGTCATGTCTCACGAGGGAGCACAGTTTCTCAAGGCTTAACAGCCAATACTGGGTTTGCCAATTTCACTGGAAATAACTCCTGTCCGATGCACTGACTGCTGCTTCTCTCTGTACAGACCATTCTCCCAGCTGCTGCTCAGGATGTCTATTACAGAGATGAAATTGGGAACATCTCCACCAGCCACCTCCTTGTCCTGGATGACTCTGTGGAGATGGAGATCCGTCCCCGATTCCCGCTTTTTGGGGGCTGGAAAACCCATTACATCATTGGCTATAACCTGCCAAGCTACGAATACCTCTACAATCTTGGTGAGTGGCAAGGGGCAGGGAATAGGAAACTTTCTGCTCTGCGTTTAAAGGTGGTTTCTGTACAATAAAGAATTGAAAGCTGCGGTATGCTGCACCTTAGCAACAGCAGTTGCTAGCTATTATTTCTAGAATATGCAAATCCAGCTTTTTTGTGCTTCCTTCAGGTTTTTGTAGACATCTGGTTAAAGTATACCTGGGTGAGCTAGTGCCCCCTGCTGCACAATTCATCCATCCGAATTCTGCTCCCACCTCTGTTGGGAGCTGAGCTTCAGGGCTGTCCCTTGTTCTCTGAGGATCTGTAACTACCCTCTGGTCTGCACTCTTAGGTGATCAGTATGCCCTGAAGATGAGGTTTGTTGACCATGTGTTTGATGAGCAAGTTACAGACTCTCTGACTGTCAAGATCGTCCTGCCAGAAGGTGCCAAGTAAGTGTCGTTACTCCTGGGTTGTTACTGGAGATGGTGCTGTGTTGGTGGCAATTTTCCAGCCCACTCTAATGGCCTGAGGACAGTGAATCAAAACCATGACTGTGCATGTGGAGGAGACCTTGGAACACAGCTTTGCTTCCTTTTAGAGCATTGCTGAAACTGCCTACTTGAACTTGTGCTAGAGGCCACAGCTGGCCAGACAAGTCCTAGGTTGCATCATCTCAAACAGTGTAGAGTTATATGGGACTGTCTGGTTTTGTCCACAGGAATATCCATGTGGACAGCCCCTACGAAATCAATCGTGCTTCGGACGAGCTGCACTACACATACCTGGACACTTTTGGACGTCCTGTTATTGTGGCACACAAGAGCAACCTGGTGGAGCAGCACATCCAGGACATTGTGGTGAGTGTTATTCCTTCTAAAAATTCAGCGGCATGGACAAAACATTTAAATTCCTGAAATAAACACTTGCTGGACTGGACGTCTGGCTCTGCTGCTCCCTGAGGAGAGGAGTTACGTCCTGTAATAACATCGGTCACTGCTCAGTGCTTGGAACTTCTCTTGTAGGTCCACTACACCTTCAACAAAATCCTGATGCTGCAGGAGCCTCTCTTGGTGGTTGGAGCCTTTTACATCTTGTTCTTCACTGTGATTGTCTACGTGAGACTGGATTTCTCCATCACTAAGGTCTGTATGATGAAGAGCCCTGTGGGAGCATTAGTAGCTTCCTCGGTGGGTGGAGGTCTTTCATACCATTAATTCTCACTGAATGTTCCCACCAGTCAGATGTTTTATTAGATGCTTAAATGGAGCCCTGTTTTTATGGAACCTGAACATTGGTACTCCAGCAGGGTTTGAACTGATGTCCTAAGGCTGATCACTGTTTTGCCTTCTGGATGAAAAGGAATCTCCTTGAGAAGCAGGATGTCTGCAGTTCTCCTTCTGCAGTGTTTTCATTCTTTGTTAAGCTATTTGTTGGGCTGGGCTGAGTGCTGATTCGTACCATTCACTTAATTACTGTCAATTGACTTAATTGCAAAGGGAACAGTTTCTGTAATAGTCCTGTGGCAGATTGTAGGCATGGCTTGATGCAGGTCAGAGATATGACTGCTTTGATCTTCCCTCCTGTCCTCTTGCAGGATCCAGCTGCTGAAGCTCGGATGAAGGTTGCCTGCATCACAGAGCAGGTGCTTACTCTGGTGAACAAGAGGCTTGGGCTGTACCGTCACTTTGATGAAGCAGTGAATAAATACAAGCAATCAAGGGACATCTCCACCCTGAACAGTGGCAAAAAGTCTTTGGAGATGGAGCACAAGGCCCTGACAAATGAAATAGCCTCTCTGCAGTCTAAACTGAAGACAGAAGGCTCTGACTTATGTGATAAAGTAAGAAATTCGAATTTATTTTGTCAGCTCTCCTATTCTTGGCTCTGTTGAGTATTTTACATGAGTTTTAATTTGGGTTTTAGTTTCTGCAGCCAGCCTGGTTTTTTTTTTAATCTGAAAATGGCTTGATCCCTGCCAGGGAGTGTGAAAAGTGTTACTTTTGCAGTAATCTCAGTTATGCAGGCCTGTAAGTGTTGCTGGTAAACAGCTGCTTGTGCTGTTTCTTAAGTAGGCCATGAACCAGCTGCACGACTACACATTAATGCTTTTGTAACAATCCTGATGCTTCTCACTGAGCTCATGGCAGTGACACAGGCAAAAATGGAAACTATCAACACAGTATCAGTTCTGACTTCACTACTGACACCAGTCAAACCAAAATCTTCTCCCTCATCTCTTATTTTCTTGCACGTTTGAATTTGGTGCTGACACAATTTTGGTAACCTGATGCTCCTTGGAGTATTTCACTGTACCATGTTAAAAGCCATGGCACAGTCAGTACACACCCACTATCCTTTCTGTCCTCCACTATATTTCAACACTTACCTGGAACAGCCACTTAACCTCAAGTGAAAGACACCTTAGTCTCTGAGGTCTATTTAATCAGCAGCCACCTCAATTAATCTGTTATTAACTCAAAGAGTAGCTCTGTCATGGCAGACTCACACACCACGAACATTAACTGTAGGGACATCTTCCAGCTGTCAGAGTTGCGATTTAGTCTGAAGCCTTTAAAATCTGACACTAAATACTCTTTTTTAACAGTCTCCTGCCAATATAGCTCCCGGGTCCTCTGAGCACCTTTTTCTCCGCTGCTTAGCTACGCATTAATGATTCCTCGTAATGTGATGCCAGGGAGAGGCGATGGCTCGGGAGGCAATATTCAGGGATCAGAGATGTTTCCACTTAGCACTGACTTCATCTTTTGCTCCATGTTTTACCACCTCTTCTATTCCAGATTCACTGTAGGGATGGTTTTTTGTCTCCTCTAATACTGCCCTTGTTTCTCACCCTGTCAGGTGAGTGAGATTCAGAAGCTCGATGGCCAGGTGAAGGAGCTCGTCCTGAAGTCGTCGGTGGAGGCCGAGCGGCTGGTGGCGGGCAAGCTCAAGAAGGACACGTACATCGAGAACGAGAAGATGCATTCCAACAAGCGCCAGGACCTGGTCACCAAAATCGACAACATCCTCGACGCGCTGTAGCTCTGCTTTAGTGACCATGTGGAGGGGAGAGGTATGGAGGGAGAGGAGAGTGCATACACTTTGAGCCAAAACTCCTTCCCAGCAGAATTAGGGGAAAAGTTGATGTGGAATGTCTGAAAGTATGTTTTGTTCTTAGATTTTTCTGTAGAGCCTGTTTGCTCAGCAACACGTGCTGTGCAAGGGACCATGCCATCATGCTGTTTGGCTGGGTAACAGGGTTTCTTTACCAGAGGTGAGACTCAGCCAGGTTATGAAACAGTCTCCTGCTTTTGGTTTTCCCTGTATAGATGTGCTCTGGGTAAATGCACACAACCAGCCAGTCTGAGCACAGACACCCTCATGGCAAACCTGAATGTCAAATCTCTGGAAAAAATAAAAGATACCTTTGTTCTACTTTGAAATAAAACCGCCACTGCCTCGCTTGTACGTGTTGTGCTGGGTTGGGGGGGTAGAGGGGCTGAGTGGCCCTGTCCTTCCTGTGGCCAGGCAGTACAGTTCCCTGCAGAGCAGAGTTCAGCCCTGAGCACTCCTGCCTCCTGTCAGCTCTGTGCCTCGAGGTCAGAGCTCTGCCACCTCACAAGGCCCTGGCCTAGGCAGGAGAGAAAGCCAAGCCCTTGTTTCCTAGGGATTTACATGCACCTGCACCCTTGCAAGGAGAAAACCACAACAGAACCTCTCCTGCCAGCCTCTCACAGTGTGCCACATGCTTTCCTGCTGCACGTGACAACAATCTCTGCTTCCCTTGTGCTGCCCAAGTAGGCCCTTGCTCACACCTGGATATATTCAGGGGTGCATGCAATTCGCTGCTAATGTCATTCTTACAAGACATTTTTTTCCTGTGCCTCTCGTCTCAGTGCACTGCCAAACATCCCAGAGCTGGCTGCAGGGACAGCAGTGTGGATTTTCCCTACTGCCTTTGCTTGGNCCTGGCCTAGGCAGGAGAGAAAGCCAAGCCCTTGTTTCCTAGGGATTTACATGCACCTGCACCCTTGCAAGGAGAAAACCACAACAGAACCTCTCCTGCCAGCCTCTCACAGTGTGCCACATGCTTTCCTGCTGCACGTGACAACAATCTCTGCTTCCCTTGTGCTGCCCAAGTAGGCCCTTGCTCACACCTGGATATATTCAGGGGTGCATGCAATTCGCTGCTAATGTCATTCTTACAAGACATTTTTTTCCTGTGCCTCTCGTCTCAGTGCACTGCCAAACATCCCAGAGCTGGCTGCAGGGACAGCAGTGTGGATTTTCCCTACTGCCTTTGCTTGGCTTAGTTGTTTACCAAAATAGATAGAGATCCTCCTACAGAAGGAGGGACTGTGTGTCCCTCTGCCTGCCCTGAGCTGTGGGTAGAGGCAGCTGCCCATAGGTGGGTGTGCAGGGCAGGGTGGTGAGTGGTATGCAGCTCTCTCTGCTGGGCACCTGCAGCTTCCTCTGGGAAGCACACTCGGCAGAAGGGGTGGAGGCTGCCTACAAACAGGGCAAGCACAGAGCAGTGGCTCAGGAGGATGCTACTGCCAATAGTGGCAGTGCTGGGGAGAGGAGGTGTGCCACAGTACCTGCACTGGCACTGTGTTGGGCTTGGGGCAAACATAGCCCCCTGTGGCCCAGTGCTGCCTGCAAGCCCTGTGCCTGGATGTGCACAAGCAGCTGGACGTTTTCCAGCCTTTTGCCAGGCCATCTGCACTGCCTGTCCCTCTGTCCTGGACCCACATGGCCCAGGTCTGTCACAGACCAACTGTGTCTGTCCCTTACTAGCCCCTGTTGGATAACAGTTGTCTTATCCTCTCCTGGGATGCTTTCCTCCTTGTACAGAGGACACAGCTGGTAGGAGAGCCCTCTGCCCCAGGCCATAGAGCTTCCAAAGTGGTTAGTAAGGAGTATTTTGCAGCAGGCCGGAGCCCAGGTGCCCATCACATTGTCACCAGGTGCCAGCTCCCTCCCATGCCCAGGAACCTCACCCTGCAGCAGAATGAGCAAGCCTGAATCCCTGTCTCTCTGCTCCCTGTGCAGGTGCTGCTGGGAGCCCTGAAACCAGAGTCCTGCCTGACCAGGGTGTGGACGACCAACAGCTAAAAATCAATAAAATCATTGCTAACCGTTGAGCCAGAACACACACAGAACTTGAGGGGTATCAGGAGCATCCAAAGCCAGACAGGGGCTGCCTGTTGTACCCAGGCAAAACAGGCAGGTCCAGGAGAGGAGAAGAAGGATCAAACTGGTGATCCCAAAGACACCCTTAACTTTCCATTCCCCCTGGCAGAGGAAAGGCAGTGCCACCCTTTCTTCCCCATATCCCACTTCTGTCTTGGCTGCATGGGCAGCTCAGACCCCTGAGGATACTAGTGGAGCTTGTAGTGCCCATTACAAAGCCCTGTGGGGTTGATGGTGTGTCCACGTCTTTCCCTTCCTACCCCAGGGGGATCTGATCGATCACCACACATCTTGGCCCTCAGCTGCTGAGCAGCTTCAGATCCTGCTTGTTAATGGAAACCACATCTGCAAATCTGCAAAGACAGCAGCTATAAATAGGCAGGATGAACGTAGGCAGCCCCAGCTAAAAAGGCCTCTGGTCCCCAAGGAGAGCTGCCCCAATTCCGTCAGCTGGGAATAAAACAGCTGCCTCAGAGTGACACTCCTCTCCACACAGCTCCCTTCTGCCACCCTCCCAAGGGACACAGCCTCCCACACTGCACACTCTGAGACTATTCTGCCCCCAGTGCTGCTCCTTCAGGGCTAGCTCATGCACAGGGAAAGGACAATTTGGGGTGGGTGGCCCGAGGATGTCCCTGCTCTGGGGCTCAGTACAGGTCCTTAGGCTGGGCGAGAGACCCCTGCAGAGGCAGGCTCTGGCTCTTACAGCCTTTTCAAGTGGATTATGAAGTATCATGGAGACACATGTGCTGTGACATTCCTCAGGGTGAGTTTTATCCCCCAAAGTGGTGCCCAGCTTCTTTACCTGCTCCCCTGTGCCAGCAACCCCTGGAGCTATTGGGGAGTTGCAGCGAGGAGGCACCTCACACCCCAAAGCACACAACCTCCCTGCAGAACTCCTGTGAAGGGGCAGCCTGTGACAACAGCCCACAGCAGCACATACACCAGGGAACTTTTCAAAAATTTCTGAATTCCTGCAAATTTACACCTGAGAATAAACGACAAAAGAAGGAGGAAAAACCACAACACCTACCAGGAGCTTAGCGTCTGCAGGAGCAGGGGGAAGAAACAGAGCAACAACACCTGGTGGCAGCAGATAGATCAATTAGGGCTGTGGCTGTTTGTCTCTGCCAAATTTAAAGGGTGCAGCCTCCTTTTGGGGAGGGGGAGATACAATGAGGGCCATTGGGCCAGTCAGCTGTCCATCTCCTGCTGTCCTTCCCCTCAGTTCTGAGGGATTGAGGGGATCTGACTTTAAAATCTTTCTTATGGTGGGTTTTACAAACTCTAAGTGCACCTAAGGAGGTTTCCAAATGATGTCCCTGCTCAGACGCCATGATATGCCCAGAAGCTGCCCCTTGGCAGATATGAGTCCCAAGGTGTCTGCTGAGGATAGATTTTCTAGGAAGGAGCAGCTGTACAACAGCCTGAATGAATCCCATCAGCACAGCCATCAACGAGCTGAGTCTCTCATACACTTGGCTCAGGCTGTGCTTGCTTAATTCCTGCAGCCACTGCATCCTCTAGTCAGTGTCACCACGCTGGCTTCTGCCACCAGAGCCAGTCCAGCAGGTCCCTGGCCAGGGCTAGCCTTGCTGGCACCATTTTTGGCTGGCTTCGGGATCTCCCTGAACTCCAGCTGCTGCTTCACGAGGATATCCCTTATTTCTTCCAGGCTTGGCAGCTCATCAAGTGTGAGGAAGCAGAGCCAGCAGGTTCCCAAAGCATCACAGCAACATTGGGCGGGATGTAGTCACTGCTGCCAAGAATCCAGGCATGAGGGCTCCTCTTCCTTTCAGCCACCCTCATGGCCAGTCTCACCTGAGACCTGTAGGCAGAGGGAATCCCAAGCTGATGGAGAGGACCACCTCCGTCTTCCTGCTGTCTGCAAAAATAGCCAGGCCTTTAATAGAGAGCTGGGAGCTGAGCTCTTCACAGAAGTTTTTCCACGCTAGAAAGTTCACTTGTGATCTTGCTCAGAAAAAATAGCCTGGGGAGACTATAAGGAGTTGGGAGGCACTTGAGACCCTCCAGCAGATTAACATCTCACGGGTAATTAAAGCTGAGCCTTGCTGGGAATTTGTAATTAGTTTTATTCCTGTGCAGAGTTTGGAACCAAAAGGTTGGAAGGGCTGAAATTTGCCTCCACGGCAGAAGGAACAAAACGAAGTGAGAAGGAAAAAAAAGTGTACACAGAAGACGGAAAAGGAAACCACACAAATGCAAGATTTGCCAGCAAAAGCGAGCAGCCATGATTTTGGGTACCCAGCTCAGTGCAGCCACCTGCCTTGCACAGGGTGGCACCTGCTCCCCTCTGCCTCCCCACACCTCCCCTCCTCACCAGGGTGCTACCCACACCGAAAACGTCTCTTGTGGGTCCCAGGCAAAGACAGAACAATTTCTCCCTCTTCAGCTTCTCACTTACAGTCCTCCAAGGGAAATTACAGAACTGAAGGTCAGCCCAGAAGGTCCAACACATCCTCCAGCAGATGCTTGAACTCAGGGGTTGGAAAGAAAATCGGGTTTTATATTAGGTGCATGGTAATTCCCACCCACACCCTCCAGCCCTAGCCAGCCCCTCATCCATCCTCTATGGGTGGAGACAGCCCAGCACTACTTCTGTGCCATCAACCCTGTCTCCCCTCCCCATGCTGACACCTCCCCTCTGCTCCAGAGGGACCCACCACCTTTTTATTTAATTTCTTTTTCATCCAACAAAAGAAAATCACTAGGCTTAACTCAGACCAAATTCTGCATGTCTGTGGTAGGTTCTGGAGGTCCCACATCTCTGTACATACCAAGGAAGCACATCCAAAAGCATGACTGCTTTAGCAACATCTCTTCCAGCTGACCCGACCCTGCCACTGTATCAGGAAGCAGAGATGAAGCACATGCCGAGTGCCATGCAGGTAGCTGTGCTTCAATGGTTCCTGATGTGTTACAGCCTCAGGGAGCACACACCTGCATGCTCACCTCTGCATACCCCACACCAGCACAGGGGCTTTTGGCAAGCTTCACCTGTCCCCTTCACCTGTCCATAGACCATCCCTGCAGTGGGACATATCACCCTGGGTACCCCAGCCCCACGGCAGCCCTGGCGGACATTCCCCACGTGCTCTTTCACCATGTCCCTCCCTCCATCCCCAGCAGTGCTGCCCGGATCCCAGTCTACCCAGTCTGGTCGCTGCTCAGCACCATCTTGTGGCTGTGAATCAGTGGCCTGGGGAGCACTCAGCTGGTCTGGGGTCACCCTGA